GGGTGGTGGACAGCATACATGTTCATAATACATGTCAAAAAAAAAATGATTGTCAAAGTCCTTGATATCACAAAAATATGAATGAATGAAAAAGGAGAAAAGAAAGAAAGAAAAATATAGCAAGGCATTTGAGTTGAAAAAGGATCTCCACATAAGGCAAATAAAAAAATTAATGTGGTGAAAGAATGCTTTAACCTCTTAAGCTACATCATTTAAGGCATTACACTCTAGTTGTTGCACTAAATCACTCAAAAGAACTCCCTCCTCTTGAGTAACCACTTGATCTTGTCACTCTCCTTGGTTAAAATTTGAGCCTATCCTAACCCCATTTGTGACCAACAAAACCCTCATGATAGGTGGTTCGTTGTATCTAGGCAAAGGAGATTGAGAATATGGGCAAGCCTATGGTAGGGTGAGGCTAAATGCATGGATTGAGGGAAAACACTTAGCCTGAAATGTTGTTGAGTGATAAGTGAAACACCACCTTGTGAGATGGATAGTTTCTTTGCATTATGTGAGTCACATGAAACCTTGCTTAATTCTTTTGTTTCAATTTAGTGGGACTTTGCATGGAATATTTGACATGAATATGATTCCTCTGTTGAATGAGTCTATGGTTGTGAAGATGTTGGAAATGCTAATTAAAGCATGAAGTTGGAATGAAAATCTCTTAAAAAAAAATTAAAATTTTTTGGATAAATCCAACCCTCTTCATTTGTTTTGCTTGAATTTTGATTTGCTTGAGGACAAGCAAAAGTTTAAGTTTGGGGTTGTGATGAATTCACTTTTTATTATACTTTTACTTGCCTTTTTGGTGCTCCTTAATAGAAGAAATAGACTTAGATAGTGCAAATAATATAGAAATTACATTTTGAGTAAATATCATAGGTTTATCAATTTTTGGTTAATTTGCATTTAATTACATAGATATAGATTGCAATTTTAATTATCTTGATGATTTTGCAGAATGCCCAAGTTAAATTTGAGAAATCTTGGTCCTTGGATGAAAGTTGCCCCCAAAGTAGCCACTTTTGGGAGCAAAAGTGGCAACTACAGCAAGTCTGGGCATTAAAAGTTCCAAAGTAGCCACTTTCAAGACCAAAAGTGACAACTCCAGAAGCTCCAGGGACGCTAAATTGGAAGCATGATGCGCGTGGTTACTATGGGCTCTCAAAGTAACCACGCGCACCAAAGTAGTTACTTTCAGCACAAATAGTGGCAACTCCAGAGAAGCGGCAATCCTTCCATCATGCGCGTAGACACTTTCAAGCCCCAAAGTGGACACTTTCAAAGGCAAAAGTGGACATTTTGGTGACATGTCATCCACTATAAATAGATTTTAGGAATTAGGGTACGGGACTTTTTGACACTTTACACAATTTTCTTTGCCAAATTGGGATAATTTCTTACGACATTGGAGTCTTGGGTGACAGCCAAGGGTCCTCTATAGGTTTTAATTTCCAATTTCTCTTTTGATTTTTATTGAACTTACATTAATGATGTTTACGTTCTTGCATTTCTTTCTCTCATTTGTGAAGCTCATCCATATGGAGGGCTAAACTTCCTTGTAATTCCTAGTCAATGCACATGAATCTTGAATTCTTGGGATTAATTGCAATACAAATCTTTCTTTCCTTGAATTTATTAACCCCAATCTCTGAATGAAATGGAATTTGCATGAAGGGAACATTGCTTAATGAACCCTAATTTACCTAACGAAATTCTAATTCAAAATTGCTTAATTTTGATTAATCCTTGAGGTTGCTTGCTTAATCTTAGGGATAGAGATTGGAGCCCATTAAGATGCTTAATTTTAATTGGGATGTTAAAGTTAGTCTTCGCTTGTTAGATTAACTTAATTTAAGGGAAAGAAAGGGGATTATTGAATCATTTGGAAGAATAATGATAGAACTCATTGCTTGACTAGGGATTACTCATTTTAATTGATTGAATTTCATTAAATTTACATTTCGTTCTTGATTAAAACCCGGAAATTGACAAACCTCCCTCCAATTTACTTGCTTTAAAATACATGTTTACACTTGTTCGATGTATGTTCCCAACCAAAAATTTCTTGGAGACGACCTAGGATAACACCCTAGTACTGCATTCATTTCTTTGCATATTTGATGAGGATTAACGACAATCTTTTGCATGACGAGTAGCTCAAATATCGTTTCATCAGGCTGTGCATTCCTCGGTGGTGTGCCCTCTATTTCTATGATATCGGCAAAACTTGGATTTGTCTGCCCGGGAGGTGTTGGCACACCTAGGCATGGTCAGTATCTTTGTTGCCAGAGCTTGGTTGAGCACCCTAGACCGATTGGTATTGAGGGTTATATAAGAAGGATACTTAGGTCCTCTGGGTGGTCTTTCAACATCACTCCTTCGATCCTTGTTTTCTTGGCTAGGTTTGAAAGCTTCTCTTTTGTCTTCTTCTTTTGAGTTGAAGCCCTATTCAGTCGCACCTGATTTTAGTATTTGGCCAATTCTTCCATCTGCATGTATTTAGCAGCTCGACTTCTCAGTTCATCCAAATCCATTGGTGACTTTTTGCAAATACTATTAACAAAGGGGCCTGGTTTTAGGGCTGTAATGAGATGATGCATTGCTACCACCGGCTCCAAATTGTGGATTGATAATGCAACCTTGCCAAAGCGTTCCATGAATGTGCTAAGCGTCTCTTTTTTTTCCTGACAGATGTTGACTAGTGTCAAAGATGTTAGAGGGAAGGGACGGCTTGCAGTGAACTGCAGGTTGAATCATCTGGTCAAGGTTGCAAATAAATTAATGGACGAGGGGGGTAACCTGGTAAACCAGCTAAGTGCTGGTCCCCTGAGGGAAGTGGGGAATATCCTGCATAACAAGGCATCATTTTCTGTATATAGGTCGACTTGAATTGTGAAAATATCCAAATGTTTTCTTGGATTAGATGTTCTATCATACTTTTCTAATGTTAAACCTCTCTAGTTATCAGGTAATTTGGCCTCCAGGATAGACTCAATAAAAGGGCTCTGACTCGAGACATCGTCTCGTTCAATAGGGGTTCCAATTTGTGTTGTTCCCTTTGGTTTTTCCTGTAGTGCCGAGGACTCTCCCTGCTCCTGAGCGGAAGGGGTAGTCTGAGAGGGTATATGGGTTTTAATTTCCTCCCTCAAGTTAGCATTTTCCCTCTTTAAGGCCAACATCTCAAGAGCATCTCTTTTTCTGGCCTGTTGCATTTCTCTCATCTCTGCTTGGAGCTTTCTTACTACAAAAAAAAAAAGCTTTCATCTCCCTTCCTTTCAGCCAAAACTTCAGGGATGGGTTGGTTGGGTATCACATCTTCCTGTTTGCGAGAAGTTCCTCCTTGATAATTTTGTCCCTCCTGTTGGCTTCTTGTCAATACCATGATGATTGAAAAAGTAAGGAAAATCATGCCCCACGGTGGGCGCCAAAATGTTCCTGCTAGAAAAACACTAATCTTCTTATCTCTGCCTAGATAGGATGACATCCTTCCGTACGTTGCTGACGCAGGGAGGGTACCTGCAAAAGGCACTCCGATGCTGAAGTCAGGTCTCAGTTCTCCGTGGTAAATATTATTCAATATTCAAAAGTAAACCCTTTACCTGTACCTCTTACCTTCCTTTTATAGGAGATATTATGGGCTAATGGGCCTTATGAGTTAGCCTTGTTCTTAGCCTGATAATTAAGCTGATAATATTATTGGTTTGTTTTTATCTAAATAGATTTAATTATTTATTAATTTATAATTAGCGTGCCTTGAGAGGTACCCGTCCTTTGTAAGCCGAATAGATACTCGATTTCTTCTTTCTCTGAGTAAGACTGAGTAGTGCCCTATCTGGTACACTCCCAAAAAGAAAAGGATGAAAAAAGTTCTTGTTCTCAAAATGCACTCTTGATTACTTGTTCAAACTTCAAGAATATATTATTCATCTTCACCAATTATCTCCACTCCCAAACGCTTCCAAAAGTCATTAAAAGTCGACCAAGTCAAAGTTCAAAGATAAATAGTTCTTCTTGCATACCCTTATTGTTTCTTAAATAAGGTTATCAAAACTTTTGAAAATATCTTAAATTAAATCACAAGGAGATAAATATGGTTATGCATAATTATGTTAGTTATTAAATAAGGTTGTACTTCTTCCTAAGCTTAATCATAGTTTCCATCAAATTTCATGTGATTGCTATAAAAATACTTTCATAATATACTGATAATCAATTTTTGTTAAATTAAAATACTTGATAAATAAATTAGTTCAAAATTTCTATCAAAAGTCAAACATATCAAAATATAATAAAATATAAACTTATCACAGTGTAGATTTATGTTATAGGAAATTTTCTTTTTTCTCTACTTATCTACTATCTATGTTTACCGTAAGAAAATCACTCTATAACTATTTCCAAACATAAAACAGTTCACTCAAACTCACTTTTAGCTAAAGTTAGTTTTTCAAATGAGTTTGTTGAAAAATAAAATAATAATTGAAAGGATAAAATTATAAAAATAGTAATAATAAATTATTAATATAGAAAAAAATATTCAATTAAAAAAACAAGAATTTAAAATAAATAACAATGTTATGATAAAATTAAGTAAAAAAATAATTTTTATATAAAATACAATAAAAAATAGTATAAATTTATTATAAATGCGATTTGATTCCATTGTAATGTTAAGAATCAGACTAAAAATTGAATCGTAATATATAATGTCATGTTTTTAATTTTTTATTTTTGTTAATTAATTTAGCAGTTTAAAAATGATTTGGTTCAGTTTTGAAGATCTGTCTGAGCCCATGACATGATGCATTCCGGTCCAACCAGTCATGCCTGCGGGACTAATTTTAAAACACTGGTTATTATTGTCCTGATTCGTCAAAATACTTGCGTAATTTTCCGTACAAATGTATTCATACCAAATACCTGCTCTCCATTGTCCTGCCGGTGGAACAATATGAAAAAGCCACAGATTAATGAAGAACGACCCAATATTGAGAAGAAAAATGGCATAAAGTCAATTTTTTTGAGATTATTCATGTTTTAAAATTTAACCTATGTCAACAAGATATTTATTCAGTGAACATAAATCGCACTGGCAACCCCGAAAAATATTCTTAACTTTTCAGCAACGATAACAAATGTAGCATTAATTCCCAAAAGCCAACAGTTTTAATACCCTCCAGTCTTCTTATTCCACCACTCCATAAACTTGGCCTCAGCAGCCAATGTGTCTACCCTGTAAAGTTGAAAAGCATGATTTGCGATTTCATGCCCAAAAGTCCACCCAAATACACCCCCAGCTAAAAGAGACAGTCCAGCACCTGTTCAATACGGTAGGGAAAAGAAAAGTAAAAGATTAACAAGTTACATGAAATACCTGTATACTTGTATGACAAAAATCTAAATAAGACTTCATATACAAAATATTACAACTAATTTAGGGTCTAAAACATTTTCAAGTGAATAAGAATGATGCCTGCTTTTGCTTACTATATTTTAATGAAGCTAAGAGCTATCGAAAAGCATAGTGCTACAGAAAAAGATTTCCATAGTATGAAAAGATGTAGATTACCATGTGGACTCCTTGAATATTTCCAGGCATAACCTGCAGTAAGTAATGCACCCAAAGCACTACCTGTGAGGCTATATTGCACTGCTTCTCTAGCAGTTCTCAGCTGAAATGGTGAAAAGGAAATTACCAACACAACACGTTAGATCATAGTTATTTTGAAGTAAAAACTCAAATCAATTTCATGTCCTAGCAGGTGAGAAATTCATGCTAAAAATAATACAGAAAATAATATCTTAAAACTTGACAGCCACAGGCAGTTATAGATATATAGAAAGAGGTTAGAAAGTTATATTTGCCGTCATGGCTTATTAGGAGACTGAGCTCCAACATGAATAATATGTTAATAAAGATTTGTCCATTATGCTTTTAGTTTATCTGTGAAAGTCAGCGGATCTTTCAATGGGATCACCGATCACCATTGTTATTGAAAACATGTTCAATTATTTTTTTATTCATTTGGATTATAAACAAATGTCATCTCTGGTAAGTGGTGGCATGATCATGATAATGCATATTGGTGAAATCAATGAATGATGAAAAGTCATGGCCAGCATAATAGTATCCCACGATGGAAGAACTCTGTTATGTTGAAAGGGAAAAACTTCTGAAAAAGATATTGTTAATGCCCAACTCAAGGTTGAATAGATTAAAAAAGGACCATCCTAAAATCTTCAAATAAAATCAGGGTTCATTAACTTTGCTTCATATGGCAGTAACTATTATATCTGTCTAATCCTAAAAGTGCCTCAGTCATTGATTGTGAGTGATATTACTTAACAAAGTCATCAAAGAATATTTGTCTAGCATCGATGATTTTAAATGCTAAGATGGTCCCGGAAAAAATACTGAAGATTATAATGGCAATGAAGCAAAACTAACTAAAGAAACATGCAGCATGACAACCAAACATAACATGGCTGAGAATGCAAAACACATAAATGGTGCCACATTTGAATTGCTTGTACAATAACACCACATTTTAGGTTGTTTAAAAGGAACCACCAATCACCATTGGTTTCAAAACATGCACAGTTCTTTGATCACTTTGGATATAACAACCACCCATACATAGACAAATCCTGTCATGTCTAGGGAGTGATGACATTGTGTCAATAATGCACATTAGCAAAACCAATGAACGATGGAAAGAGATGACAACCATAATGACATCCAAAAGATGTTCTGTTGATGAAAAAAATCCTATGTTGAAAGGACAGTGAATGCCCAACTCAAAGTTGAGCAGATTACAAAGGAGTATCCTAATAACTCTAAAGGAAGCCAGAATTCATTAAGAGGGTGATTGGTAACAATTGTTTCCGGGAAAATAACCCATTATTTCTTTCAAGTTGCCAAAAAAAAGGCAATTATTTTGTCAAAATAAGTTGAACCAAACATGCACTCAGCTTCATACACTGATAAGTGGTTATTATCATCGATTGTGAGTTTTTCTAAATTGCTAACAACTAACAGCAATTAAAGCTGCATTATTATGGTATAGGAAGTCTCTACAACTCAATAACCATAGCCACAATTTAAAACCATGATTGTGAGTGATTCCACATAACAAGTCATCTAGGATTATTTGTCTAAATCAGTCACTTTAAATGCTTAAAAGTCATACAAAAAATAATGCAGAAAGAAGAATAAAAGTAAATGATGAAAAACTAACTCCAGAGAGATGCAGTGTGGCCAACCAGAAATGACATGACAGGAATCAACAATATATAGATACATGGTTCCACATTTGGCTACTGTTAAATAGCTCCTCGTGTTAAGTGAGTGCAATGATCTATTTCATCTGGCCCGGGTAGAGAAAAGTGTTTCCACAAGAAATTTTGAACTATATCAGTAGGTTTACAAAAGATATCCTAAACAACACCACATCTAATCTATGCACCATGCAAGAAGAAACTGTCTTCCATTTCTTAATCACTTGATGTGTCTGCAGTCTAAGTATAAACAAACTTGAAAAATGCAGAAAACTTACGAAAGATATCCTAAACAACACCACATCTACTGTATGCATCATGCAAGAAGAAACTGTCTTCCATTTCTTAATCACTTGGTGTGCCTGCAATCTAAGTGTAAACGCACTTAAAAAATGCAGAAACGTTGGAAATAAACCAAGACTGATGATAGAAAAACATTGCTGAAATTTCTACCTAATAGTGCAAAGTAAAAACATGTAACTAAAACAACTTAATGCTTTTGGGCCTTAATTAGTCTCACTAATTTTTTGACAAAGTCTAATGCCATGTTTATACTAGAATAATAGATTTAAAGCTTTTACACTTTATCATTTGACATGTTTCTTCATGAAAAAAGTACTAGTACTGACAAGTCTACACTAATTTCCTAAGGACTTTCTGTACAAGGACAACTAGTCTTCTACTTCAGACATTGGGAGGAAAGGAGTCTCTTTGAAGATATACTCCCCATGAATAAGTTTATAAAATAACAGTTTTCATAATCCAAATAAATTTTGATAGAGGAGGAGATACCAATTACCTATTTAAGAATTGAATCATTTTACTAAAACAGAGGCCCAGCACCAAGAAATCTAACATCAGGAACAAGATTAAAAGATGAAGTATACCTGACGGTAAAATTCCAAGCTAAAACTAACCAAGCACACTTGAGAGAACATGCTTTCAATTAACCAACAAAAGAAATACACACAACAGCAATAATAACAGTCGAAAAAAAAAAAAAAAACAACCCAAATGGGCATCCCACACTAACGGGAAATTTAGAAGAGCTTAGGGAGAGTTTAAGAAGATAGCCTATAACTCCCCTAAGCTTTTTTAAGTTATTTCAATAAACTTCTTTATATAACTCATCAAAATAAGCTCTGTTTAGCTATTCCATGCGTTCTGCGGTCAAATTTGTCTTAAGCCCTCATATGATAATAACTTATTGAATAAGCACTTAATTACACTGCTTAGCCAAACGTACCGTAAATCATAAATAAATGTCATTGAAAACATGTAGAAGTAGAAGTTCAAGATACGGTGCAAACATTTGAAATAAGAAGTAGATCGGGCCCTATCAAAGGCCACAAATGGAGATGATAAAATGAAAGAGTTATTACAACGGGCCCATGAACAGGATCGGAAGCAATGAACTCCTCGACATCAGAGTTAGACCAGGAAGGGATGGGTTTATCACGCTTGATGAACCTGGAATAGTTACCCAAAAAGGAAAACCTCTCTGCCCAAAACTCTTTGTAGCCTTCCCAGTATGATGAACCTTGCGCGTTTTCCGCCATCACTCCCTTTCACTTGTTTTCTCTCTGCCGCAACCAGCTACCAATCAGACTCAATTAGTTCAAAAGATTGGTAACTGAATCGAGTAAAATATAATCATTGAAGCTAAAACATTAGATTTCTTCATAAAAAGTCGTTCGCTTGAAAATCAAATTCGTAGTCGAAATAAACATATCCATTTTCAAATTGATTCGGATTGATGGATCACAGCTTCAATTATGCAAACTCAGAATATCAATTTGAAGAAGAAGAGTGGATTACCAAATCAGGTGCAAAAGTGACGCTGACGAAGATGAACGGTCCCTGACACAGTCGTTTTCTGAAGGCTGTGGGTATTTAATTGTCTAGGTTTTGCAAGCTGAAGCCCCAGACAACAATGCCCATCTATGCTTTCAGATCCATTATTTGCGTCATTTTTTCTCTTTTGGTAAGAAAATTACGTCATATATAAACCAATCCACTATTTTATACTACTTTTCATTATTTAATTTTAAATTTAAATTTAGCAATACTGGAAATAGTAATTAAATTTATCCTTGGTTCAGGTAATGTGTGTCTGATATTTTTAAAATAAAATTTTGGGTTTAACTGTTATGTTTACAAAATTATTAAAAAGCTTAATCTCATCGTATTATAACTAGAATTTATTTTAATGTATTATGAGTATAAAGATTTTATATTATTAATTGATTAAAATATATTATAGATATACTTTTTAAACTAATTATTATAAAGTTTAATAATATTTATTAATATAAAATTTATAATCATATGACAATATGAAAACTATTGTCAAATATATTTAAATTAATTCTTTATAAATATTTGTAATTCAAAGAAATTTTATTTCCATGAAAAATATCAATTGTTGTGGACCAAAATGAAATTGGAAGTAGTGATTACCAATAAGAAAAACCAGATTTTTAATTCATGTGCAATATACACATGACGTAAGGAAATAAAAATATTAAATATATTTTTATCTTGTAAATATTTTTATTATTTTAATGTAAAAAAGTTTATTAAATTTGAATCATTACTTTATTTAATAAACTTTAATACACATTTGTTTAATTCTTTTAAGTGATGTCATAAGGAATTCACTGTCGTGCTATTAGTATACGTAACATAAATTACCTAACTAGCATGCCATGTCAATTTTTAACATTTTGTCAAGAAATGTAAAGCCGAACGTATTTAGATTATCTTCGGAAAATTCAACGTCTAATTTTATTTTTTTTAAATAAATTTAAATCTATTTAAGCAACAAATTTCATTTAACAAATTCATTTAAACAAAATTTCTCTAATAAAAAAATATAAATTTTTTTAATTATTTTATAAGATTCCCTTAAACAATCTAAATTTATTTAAATAAATTTTTATTGAACTGTCATATTTAATTAAAATTAAAAAAAAATATCTAAATCTAAAGTAAAACTCTAGTTGATGTTAGGTAAGCAAACCATAAAACACTACGAAAGTAATTATTAACCGCTCCTTATATCAAATATATTGCTTTATCAATGAATTTCTCTTATTTATATAACACCCCTTCTATTATTGTGATTAATTTCATATTGAAATTTCAAAAAAATCATTATTAGTATATTTAAGATAACGGTATAATTAAAGAAATTTATATTGATATAATTTTAAAAACAATAAAAAATAAAATAGTTTTTATCTAAAACAATAGGTAAAAAAATAAAAAATAAAGTACTATTTTCTCATTATTGATTAATTATTATATTATTTAAAGTACATTTACGTAATTTTCACAACTTTTATTTTGCACTTAGAAAAGTAAACATACTTTCTAAAATTACATAACAAATAAATTTCGGGTAATCGATGGGCAAGAAAAACATCGCCTTGTAATAAGCTAAAGATCACTTAATTCCACGTTTTATAATATGGTGTGAATTAAGTTAATCAACGAGTAATATTTATTTTACTTAATAATTTTTTTATAAATATTATATTCATTAATTCAGTTGCTAGATTAAAAAAATTAAATGAATAAATTAAATTTACAAAAGATTCTATATATTAAAAAATAAGTGACACTTCATCAAATAATTTTATTTTACAACATAATACATTTATTTAAAATATAACTAAATAGCTATTATAAATTTATATATCTAATTTATTGATATTATATTATTTAATAATTATATTGATGATTCAAAAATATATTATTTATTAAAAGTTATCAAGCAAAGTGATTGACAGAAATTACTCTTTATGAATTATAATAATTAGGAATATAAACACATTGAATAAATTATGAATTATTTAAAAGGTTAAACAAAGTTTTAATCCTCTAAAAAATAATATTTTTCATTCAATTTCTCTTTTTACTATGCAGTATCTTAAAAATTATTAATCATTTTAGATGATTTTTTATTAATAATTTATTAAAATTTTCTGCTATTTTTTATATATAAAATAATAAAATTATTTCAAATAATTTAATTGAGATATAGCATCAGCCAGCGAAATGTATCATCATATCTCTGAATGAAACCGTAAGTTAAATATTATATATATTTATTTGGTAATATTGGTGAATAGACTAAAGTGATCCAAAAATTAAATAATGGAGTCGAGTGATGTTCTGTTGATTTATTTTCCAGTGGATAGTGATTGAAGCACAAAAACACACACCTTGTGATTGTCCCACACACCACTCTCTACCCACCAAGATTGTGTGCAGCGGCAATGGCGCTTTCCTCGGCATTCCATGAACGGCTCCACCACATGGACCACACTCGAATTCAGCGTCTCTCTCTACTTCAGGTTCAATTCAATTCACCTACCAACATCAGAATCCTTTGCCTTGAATTTCCTCGTAACATCAAAATTCCGAGCACGCAACATTCTTTTGTTACCACTTTTCAGGCCGAGAAAGAGTTGCAGGCCAACAAGTCTCGCGTTTTGGCTTCCAAGCTCGCCAACATCAGGGCCATGGAACAGAGGTGCTCCTTCCTCGACCAAAAAATTGCATCACAGAATTTCAACATTCTCGCTCTCAAGTCTCAAATCGAGAACCTCGAACTGAAATACGAATCCATTTCACAAGAACTGAGGTAGCCTGAAGCGAATTGAACTGGAATTTCTCTTGGTTTGAGTATAATCGTTTTATAATTAGCGTTGCGTTTGCGTCCCCTAGGTCGTTGCAGAACGAGGTGGAGGAGCTTGATGAGTTGCGCCAGAAGAGAGAGAGCTTTTATGAGGCAAAGAAGATAGAAATCAAGGAATTCAAGGAACTTGCGGAGAATTTTGTGGTGAAATGTCAAATGGAAGTTGTGAGTTTGAGGAATAGAGTAAACGAGGTAATTGCAAATGGAATATCTTCGTTTACCTAACAATGAATTTGCGTTATCCTAATAGAATAATTTAGGCATAACATTGTTAGTCATTTTTTTTAATGTTATTTATCAATTAAAATTTGAGTTTTAACTTGATAAAATGTCGGTATTTAATTGAGTTGACGATAAAACTCTAATTTAGATCGAGAAAATGAAAAGCATAAGCTTATGTGGGGGAACTAAATGCTATATTTTAGCTGGGGTAGCATTCCTCTTACTATCAATTTGCATGAAATGAGTAACAATGTGAGTTAATTCGGTGGTTGCAAAGTGTTTGGGTTGATGGGTGTTTTGGTTTTCAGCTGAAGTCCTCATTCATGGAACTTAAAAGCAACAATAGGGACTCTTGTAATGCGGAGATTGCTGCTGCTGAAATAGGAAGGTTGGAACTCCTGGCTGAGAAGGAAAGTGTGTGTAGGAACATTGATTATAACCACCAAATAAAAGCGCAGTTACAAAAGCAGCTTCAGAATATTTTGATGACACAAACTCAAGATAAGGGATCGGAGTAAAAGACCACGTAGCTAACTTTGCTCTTGAACCTCCCTATTGGGTTGCATTTTTCTGGCTAACATGCCAATGGGCTTTGACTCGCACACAGTTGAAGCCTTCCCTTCCCACTTTCTGTTTCTCAGAGGCTTAGCCTTTCGTTTGTATTGGCTAAACAAAAAAAGAAAATGCTTCTGACACGTGCTCAAGATATATAGAAGCAAAACTTTAAGAATTGTACATTTTGTTTTGAAGTAGATAGATACTACCCATATACCCTGAGATAGATACATAATATTGTCTGTCAAGAAATATATGTCACAGACTTAGCATACCTCTTTATAGAAGGATGGAATTAAGAGTTTTAGACTATAAAATCCAATCAAAACCTATTTTGGTCCTTACTCGAAATTTATTTATTTTTATTTTTTCTTATAAAAAATTGTAAATAATTTTTTAAATGAAAAATTAATTTCAAATAGTCTTCAGAAGCTATTATCTCACATTTAAATATATTATTTTTTCCTTTGATCTCTATCATAACACATATAACACATGTTTTTTATTATAGTCCTCATACGGAAAAAAATAAATTTCAAGGATCAAAATAAAAAGAATGCAGAACATATAAGAACAACAATAAAAAATTGTACATGTAGGGATAAAAATGAAAAGAAAAGGTTATTATAGTTTAATGCAGTCATAGAAATTATTATAAGAAGTTGGTGTTTAAGAGTTTGACAAAATTATTTTTCTTACACTTGTGGAATTTTGAGAGATTATTTAAAAAAATTGTTTAAAGATAAATTTTATATGCAATACTTTAACTACTTTTGATGTATTTCTTTTCAATTAAAATTAGATATTTATCTTAGAAATCAATCTCAACTTTCAATAAAATTAAACCTAAAACTAATTTTAATTCGAGGCCATTTTTTAAAAGGATCTATATAAAATAAGTAACGCATCATAATTATACTTAAAAAATGAGTAATTTTCATTATGCATTTTAAGGAACAAAACTAAAAAGAAAATTTATATTGCTCTCTCAAGTTTAAGAAAAAGAACAGTTTAAACAATTAAAAATTAGCTGGTATATTTTTTTTAATCTTTCATAATGAATAAAGATAAAATACTTTTACTTAAATCTCAAACATCATATTTTCATAATACTTTCAATAATTACATTAAGCCACAATTACATTGTTTAAAATGACTAAATTGTCTTTCATATTCTATCACAAATCACCATTAAATTTTTTAATTTATGAGTCTTGGAGATTTTTTTTTACGTCTACAAAAAAAAAATTGTCCCTTTATGAAACAAATTTTTTTTTATTTTTGATCCCTATAATTAAATTCTTTTTATAATAACTAATAAAAAGTGTGTTATGAATAAAAATATTGTATATACACACATATATATATATATCAAAATATAAAAAAATAGATAATAATTCTATAATAAAATTAACGTTAAGGACTAGTTTAAAAATATATTTTTTATTTAGAAAGTTATTAATTTTGAAACTTATTTAAAAAACTTTCTTATAAAACTAAAATAATATTTAATCTTAATTAATATAATAATAAAGTTTATCCTGATCTTTCCTATTTTATTAAGAATAATATTATTTTTTTAATTTCACTTATTTAGTATAATGTAAAATGAGTAAAATGAGTAAATTTGTTATGGCTGATAAATTACCTATGCGTCTATAAGTGTTATCACATGGGCGAATCACAAATTGTTGTGGTGATATGCATACTAATAGATATCAATGTCATCATGTGATTGTTGTATGTTATAGTAAAAACATTGATTGACATGTTTATGTTGATGATGTCTATACGGTTAATGAAGTATGCAAAGTTTGTAAGAAGGAGTTTGCGGTGATTAGGAATGAAAGCACATGATGCTAGTATATAGGACCAAAACTTGTCCTAATCCCAGCTTAAAGCACAGAAGTAAAAGTCGTCCCAAATCAATTCATTTTTTGAATGAAATGGATATGCGTGAAATGAGAAGACCAACATGGTGTAGTATTTGTCGAGTCGAGAACCATAGTCGAAGGAAATATCCTCATCATTCAAGACCAACTTCATGATATGTAGTTGTGATGATGTCGTATAGCGTTAATTTTATTTTGTTTATGGTTGTGCTAAATATTGATTATGTCTTTCAAATGTTATCAATGTGGTTTGCTTGTGATGTTATAAACATGGTTATTTTAATTCGTCAAGTTGCTTTCATTATTGAGTTATTGCTTCTAATGAACTAATTATAAATTAAATTAATAACAATAAACATAACACAAATAATAATAATAATAATAATAATAATAATAATAATAATAATAATAATAACAACAAAACAAAATAAAACATTGAATTTAAACTAACAATACATAAAAAATTTAAGTAATCAAACAAATTCAAACAATAGATAAGATGTGATTACAGTACATAAAGAAGCAAACAAATTCAAACATCGGATAATATGCAATTACATTACACAAAGAAGTAAACAAACAAACTACAACTAGCACTAACAACCTGACTATCCTCTTTTGCCCTTTTTCTTCTTGATTAATGACGGATTATATCTATCAGGGAGTTGAGTAAAAGGACGTAACAAACATGTAAAAAAATCCCTTGCGTCTTTCCCCTCTATCTACATCATCACCCACACCTTGCTCTTCCTCGTGGCTCATGCTCCTAATCCTCCATATGACTAGATATTAAGGTTAATGTGCTATCCTGTTGCGTGACATCCCACAACATCATTAGCATAGACCATTGATTTCCGAGTGAGAATATTCCCTACGGTACAGCCCTATACTCTGGTGTCACTGGTTGTGGTCGATACACATCCTCCTCATGTAGTGGTGCTTCTTTTGCAGTTACATCCTCTTTATGGGTGATATATCCATGTAAATCTCCTCTGGATGAGAAATTAGTGGCTAATTACAATTATTTCACAATTTTAACTTAACTATATAAATAAATATATATTTTATTCTCAATTACTCAAAATTATATATATTTAACAAAATTGTAATCAAATTCAAATTCAAATTCAAATTTAAAAATTAACAAAAATATTATACTTACATTTAAATTATGAATTTTCTCTAAAATATGCATTCTTGAATCCAAAGTAAAATCTCTAACCATCTTAAAAAATAAATTAAAAAAATTTACACTAAAAATTATTTTTTTTTTAATTTTCTTCACCTTTCTTCAACCTCGCAACCCACCTTTCTTCTTTCTTCTCCAAGACCCTTCTTTAGACTCATGCTTCTTCCTCACACGATTTCACTTTGTCCCTCTTCCTCACACATGGTTCTCGCTAAACCTAGGGTAATATTTATAGCACCAAAACATGCCACTAGCGATCTTTAACTCCACCATTACCCATGCTTGCAGAAAACAATGATTTTTCATAGATTTCTAATCTAAAAATTGACATTGACAATTTTTCAGAGCTCAAAGATGTCTGACAAGCGTGAACGATTACAATTGCCATACTTGTAGAAAACAGTGATTTTTCAAAAATTCATGATTCAAAAATCGCCATTGGCAATTTTTCAGAGCTTAGAGATGCCTAATAAGCATGAACGACTATAGTGGCGAGTAAAACAGACCTCCCCAAGTCAAAGATTACCAATGGCAATTTTTCAGAATCTTCAGACTCCATTAATGGTGTTCACTTTATTAATGTTCATGTTATTGCAGAAGTGTTGCAGGTCCTTCAGACACCATTAATGGCGATCAAAGGTGGGCAGAGACTTTTCAGGCGTCTTGAGAGCTTAAAGTCAGATCATTCAAGTTAGCAAGTTGAAAGTTTTCTACTATTTTATGGATAAATTGCCAATGGCATTTTTTGAAACATCATATTCATGTATAGTTGCTAAAAACATCATATTTTATGTATTCTATTTATGTGTTACCATATTTAAATTATTCATTATAACCAAATATACAACGGTTAATAAATTAATTTCTAAATTCTCATGGGAAATTCACTATACTATACTTTGTTTTTTGAAATAGTGAAATAAGTTTGATTTACATGTAATTCTAAAGCAATTTTTTTTTATTATAACCAACATTTACTTCATAAATTTAATAAATTTTTAAAGAATGAATCCAAGTTGAAAGTCCATTTTTTTTATCACTTAGAGAAAATAAAACTCTATTCTTTACATTTAAATATGGTATCTTTATTCTTTATTCCATTTGTTGTATATAAATTAAAAATATAAAATTAGGGATAGAAGACTGCTTTTTGTTTGACAATGACATGGTGGGAACGAATGTTTAAATGATTAAAGGAAAAGCTTCAATTTGCATTATATACCAATCCTATGTCACTAATTTTCTTCTAATACACTCTGTTTCTGGATTAAATGTTGAAGGAATGCAAAATATGAGGAAGCACTAGAAAAATTTTGGTCTGTTTTGGGATCAAAGCTAGAACCTGAGGAAGCAAAAGGTCATTTTTTTGTTATGATTTTTAATGAAATTATTCAAATATGACATCTTTCAAAAAATTACCTAAAACTGGTTTTTCTAAAAAGAAATGTTAATGGCGATTTTATAGCGCATACAAAAAATAAAATTTTAGAAAGAAAAGTCGTCATTGGCGAGTTTTAGGGGGGGAAAGTACTAAATTACTAGAAAAATTGTCATTGCTGACCTTTAAATGTCAGAAAAGCTTTTAACTTTTTAAAATTTTCCAATGGCGACCTTTGACCAATGAAAAAATTTCAAAAAATGTAATAAATTGCCATTGGCGATTTTTAATTGGTGAGACTTTAAATACTGCAATCTCAATTCATAGCAACTTGTCCTTAAAACCATTTAAAACACTTCTTAGAGAGTGTCTTTGAATTATGTTTATTAGAAGAAAAAATGAGTGTAGCAGTTGTAATTTATTTTAATGGTGAGATTATAGCAAATACGAGTAAAGGTATGATATTGGCATGAGAGAAACTAACATGTGTGTATATTCCATATAATGTATCATTTG